ATCTCTCCTCTCCTCTCCTTTCCTTTCCTTTCCCTTCCTTGCCCTTCCTTTTCTTTCCTTTCCTTCTCCTTCCCTCCCTTCTTCCTTTCCTTTTCCTTTCCTTTCCTTTCCTTTCCTTTCCTTTCCTTTCCTTTCCTTTTTCCTTTCCTTTCCTTTCCTTTCCTTTCCTTTCCTTTCCTTTCCTTTCCTTTCCTTTCCTTTCCTTTCCTTACCTTTCCTTTCCTTTGACAACTTTTTCCACTCACCAAAAGTATCCTCCCATTTGGAAGTGACTCTGGCTGAAAGATTTAAATCCATCCAGATTTTCTCTGATTGGTTTTCCAGGTATGTAACAACAAAAGAAATTGCCACTGCGACCCAGGCTGGGCTCCTCCAGACTGCCGGATCAAAGGAAACCCTATGGGAGGAAGCATTGACAGCGGACTTCGCTATCTGGATTTGGGTCAGTCAGCTGTTATCGTACAAGGACGTTCTCCAGCCAAACCAATCAATCCGGCCCTTCGAATGGTCAGAGGTCTGCCCTTTCTTTTGACCCAAGTGTCTGAACTTTGATCATGTGACCATGGCACTGTATGGGCTGCTGCCGGTTCGGTCCGGTTCTTGCAAACTGTTCTACTTACCATGGCTGCGCTAAATTGTAAGCTGATGAGGTTCAAATTGGTGTTGTTTGAACACCGTGCGAACACTGTTGCAGAGCCGGTTGTTCCACCGGTTGCAGCCCCACCCCTGGACCCTGGAGATGCTTCCACGATCATAAGTGTTGACAAAAGAATTGTAAGTCACTTTTTTTGCAGTGCTGTTGTAACTCTGAATGGTCACTAGAGTGAACTTGTCAGGATTCTGGGACTTCACCCCATTTAAATCGTGAGTCTCGAGCCAAACTTCCAAAACTTCAAAAGGATTTATTAGGAGCAAACATGCCGGCACTGCCTGCATGCAGCCGGCCCTGAGACACACAATTCATTGTCACCTTTGACCCTGAGTTTTCCCCCCCACCTCCTGGGTGTATCGTAATCCATATTCTCCAATGGGACACATCCATAGCCCAGAGTCATCAATCATGTCTCTCCAGTTAGATATTTTGCACAGCAGAAACTTCAGTCACCTAGTCACTATCTTTGAAAACATTTATGGAATGCAGTTTCGGTTTTGCAAGCTGCTGCACTGCTCTGCCCCTCCCTTTCCGTTGGCAACTCTAAAAAGACCAGAAAAATATTTTATACGTTGACAGAACTTTTGCAAGTCAAGGACTTATCTGTACAACTCACATTCCCACATTCCATCCTTTCTGTTGACATCTCCAAATGAGAGGACATGTATGATGGACACCTGATGGTGTCATAATGCAAAACCTAACCCCATTGTATTGAATTCTGGCACTGGACACCTTAAGTTATGGGTTTGTATTTTGACATCTGATTGCACCGATCTCCACTTGCCCCCGATAGACACCTCTAATGATTTCTCCAGACACCTGTCCACTTCTATCTGGATCTGGTTGTTTGTCCATGCATTGGCGTGGTTGTCCAGCCTTCACCAACCACAGAAGCCATCCAGATGTATAGAGTTGGGTGAACTCTGTTTCTATCTATCCCGAAGGTGCTTTTTTCAGGAGGCAACTAGACTTTTCTTTTGAAGACGTTTTGCTTCTCATGCAAGAAGCTTCTTCAGCTCTGGCTGGATGTTGGGGAAGGAAAGGATTTATGCTGCTTGCAGAAAAGCTGGTCATTTGCATCCTTTTAGAGGGTCGTTGAGGCCACTTGGAGGTTTAACTGTGTCCTCAGCGTCACCGGAGCGGTGCAAATGGGTGTGGTGGAGTCTTCTTGGAACAGCTGAAAGGACTTTGTTGTAGACTGGAGATAGGCAATGCCGTATCCCTCCTGCTCTGTTGAGAGAGGGCTTGTTGAGAGTGTTGACACCGATGGCTTCTTTCTATCTAGATATTGAGAAAAAGGCCAGGGAAGACAGTATGCGGACATGGATCCTGCTCAGCATTTTCCTGTTCCTGCCCATTATTGTTGGAAGCACCCTTTTGGGTGTCAAATGGAAACGTATCAAAAAATCTTGCTTCGAAGACGATGACCTGGATGAGGATTCTGAGTAAGTTGCTTTGAACAGGGTGGGCCTTCAACCTTCCCGAAGGGTCAGTAATTTTAAGAAAGGTGTACGGGTGGCAGGGAGGGTCAAAAAAAAAAAGTCAAGATGGCAGCCACCACATCCATCAAAAGAGTGGGGCAGTTCCCTGCCTCCCCAATACCATGCAAGGGAACATATTTCTTTTACAAGTATTTCTTTTCTTCTAAGTCTACCATTGGAACGTTAAGAAAATTACACAACTTGCATTTTAGGTTGCTTGGTAGGTCAGAAATGCAAAATTAGGTTAAGGTCTATTAAAATCATGTCCTTTTGCCTTCTTTAGCTGAACGGAACTGCTTAACTTGTGTTTTTTAATTATCACATTTTTTTGAGGGCGGGGTGTCAATATTTCTACTGATTTGGGCTAAAACCGAAAGGCCGATGAAGTAGAATCAACAAAAATGGTATTTTAGCAGACAGACGTATGTTTAGAATTACAGAATAATGTTTCTGAGGCCATGAATGGATTTTTAGCCCCAGAACTGAATTTACAGTTTTTTTCATTGACCAACTTTCCACCCCCCACTTCCCTGCCCAATCTGTGTGGCCCAATCTAACATAGAACTTTTAATATTTGCTCCCAAACTGATGTAGTAGTTAAGGCCTTAGGCTAGAAACCAGGAGACTGTGAGTTCTAGTTCTACCTTAGGCACAAAGCCACCTGGGCGTCCTTAGGCCAATCGCTCCTTTTCAGCCCCTTCCTGAAAAACCCTGCTGAGAAAACTGCAGGGTTTTTGTCCAGGCGGATTCTGAGAATCAGACCTGATTGAATGGGGGTGGAATCCCCCTTTTTTAAAAAAAAGTTGAAAGTGAAAATAATTGATGATAGCAAGAGACTGTGAGTTCAAGTCTTGCCTTAGCCATGAAAGCTGACTGGGTCATTTTGAGCCAGTCTCTCTCTCTCTCTCTCTCTCTCTCTCTCTCTCTCTCTCTCTCTCTCCGCCCAGATAAACTCACAGGGTTGTCGCTGTGGGCAAAACGTGAGAAGGAAGGTGCATTGGATACGTTTGCTGCCTTGAGTTGTTCATGAAAGGGTGGGAATTCAGCCGGTTCGGACCGGTTCAAGTGAACCGGTTGCTAATTTTACACCTGGTCCGCTGAACTGATATTTTCAAGGACTGGCTGGCCCCTCCCACCTCTCCCCATGCCTCTCAGAAGTCTCCACGTGTCCCATTTTGGAGGCCAGATAAGTGCAGGGCCTGCGGAGAAACTCTGGGAGGGCAGAAAAACGTTCTAGAAGTCCGGCCTTCAAAGGCCCTCCGGAGCCCAAGGGGAGGCCATTTTCACCTCCGGAGTCTGGGGAGGGTGAAACCATCCCCCCCACTGTGGTGCAGGAGGCTGAGTAGGCGATACCCACCATGGCCATCCCCACTCAGCAACCCGGCAGAGAACCAGTTGTTGAATTTTTTTAAAAAATTTTTAAAATTAAATATACACAAAAAAGTAAGAAAAAGATATTTAAAAGAAACAATGAACGTGGTGCAATCATCTTAGCCCTCCTAGTTGTCTTACGTCGCCAAGTCATATAAAAAAAAATAGTACATATTTACATTCCACATACATAGTATATAATATATACATAAACCTTAATCATTTCTTATTTTCTCGACTCTTCCTTTTTTCCAACCTGTGATAAAACGCGTCCCATATTTTGTAATAATCAGATTCATCCTTATTTTTTTAAACTCTTCCGTCCATTTATCCATTTCTGCGCACATCCAAATTTTCCTCGTTATTTCTATTTCACCTGGAGTTTCCTTACATTTCCACTGCTGGGCATTGGCTAGTCTTGCCACGTCCACCCAATTTTTGAATCCCACCCCTGAAAGGCGGGATAGAAGAAATAAGAATTTATTTGTCATTACACTCGCAAGCGCGTGCAACGAAATGAGGTGCTCTTCCACAAGTAAAACTGGACAACACCATTGAAAGAAAAATAAAATTAAACACAACAGACCATACAATAATCTCTATACAATTTAAAAATGTAAATACCCCATTACTCTCAGCCATTAAATTCCACAAAAATCTTATGACCCTCCATTCAAACTCAAAACTGCACTTGGATAAAAACTGTTCTTAAATCTAGTCGTCCTTGTTCTTAATACCCTGAATCTCCTTCTCGATGGTAATAGTTCAAAGAGCTGATGTCCCGGATGAGAGGAGTCATTCAATATATTAAATATAAATGCATGGAGACATTAAAAAAAAATCATCTTGATTGCTGTGGCCGCTCTAGCAAAAGACGACAATACGGTGAATGTATTTTCAAAACGAAGTCGGAATAATGGTTGGGTCACCTCTACAAAACGGCGTAACTCTCTCTTAAATCCTCTTGACTACTTTCCAGGTCTTATACTAGATCGGAAGAGAGTAACACATCGGAAAAAACAAGGTAAGCCTTCTAGAAAAGTGGGGCGGGAAACCTCCAATCTAGAACCCTCTTTTGCCCCT